GCGGGAAGCGTTTCTTGCTCGAGACATTCTTCTTGGCTCTCTTCATCATCATAGTGTGAATCCAGTATCTGCCTAGACTGCCTCTTCTTCTCCTCAAAATCGTCGCGTAAATGAGAAGCTTGTCCTGGTGGGTTAGCTCCAAGAAGCAACACATTCCACAAGGAACAGAATAGAGTGAAAGATCGAAGCGGGGAGCCAAAAGCATCCGATTTTTCTACGAGGGTATTGCGTTTTTGCAAAGAATCCGCTTTTGACCCGGTCTTAACCGTGCAACATGAGATCAGTAGGTTCAAACACCAGTCTGGACAAGTAGATTCATTAGTTTTGTTTCCACAAGAAGAGCTCATGTTGTTCTCAGCCAGAATAATTCCAGGCATCTTGCTCCGGTCTACACAGCTCAACTCTGGAACTGCTTGTCTGATTGATTGATGCATTAGAGAAGATCTCTGAGCAATAAAGTCTTTGTAGCTTGAAGACTCTGGGAGATCAGAAGCTGCGTGAGTTAGAACTACGATAGAGTTAAGCCATACTGACGAGCCCAGAGATGTGGTGATGATTCTAAGTAAATGGATGTCTGGATTCTCGCCTAGTCGATCAACATAGAGGATGACATCGACTGGAAACGTTCTCATGATCTTCTTTATCGACGTGAGGACTTCCTGATTAAACCGTTCCTCGGTTGCAGAGGACATGAGGCCTGGCGTGTCAAGTACTCTTATCAGGATTCCTCCTACATTCCCAAGAACGTAATTTGCAGACTTTGTGGTAACTCCAAATGCACCAACAGGTGACTTCATCTCCCCAAATATAGAATTAACCGTTGCACTTTTTCCCACACCGGTTTTCCCAATAACAAGAACATTTAGGGAGAAGTCTAGATCATCTGGAAACTCTTGGACAGGCAGCATTATCTTTGTTCTGTCAGACACGTTATCAAACCCTAAAGACGCCTGATGTTCTCCACCAGCTAGGCTCAGCTTAGACACAACTTCAGTAACAGCTGAGTTTTCACTGCAAAGATCTATTCCTCTTATAATCCTCTGGAGCTTTGCTTTCAAGAGCTGCGACCTCTCAACTCTTTCCTTCACTTTTTCACTTATCAGCTTCACAGAATGATCAGACGATAACTCTTCAGAATAATCCTGGAAAGTGGATTCAGAGAGTTGCTCCCTTGTATCATCTCTTTTTTCGTAATCGTCAAGCTCCATGAAAGAGTGATTGTGAATCAGCTGTGCCATCTGCGTCTCATTTTCCAATTTATCATCAGCAATTACACAAGAATCTCCAGGCATGGTTCTCTCAACATCTTTAACCGTAAGCAAGCTGGTTTCTTCGACACCCTCTGAGTTTTGATTGGGTTCACTATCAGACTGAAAATTGACTTGCTTATTAATCTGTTCTGAAATCTGCTCCCCACTTTCCACATTCTCATTGGCCGTCTCAAAGGAACTTAAACGTGATGGTCTATCTTCATCAGGAAGGGATTGCTTCCTCTTAAGATCCTCTGATTCTTGTATTCCTTCAATTTCAGCTTCTTGTTCAGCTTTTTGGTCCGAAGAACTGCACCCACTTACAGCATCTATTCCTCCAGCAACCTCAAGGTTACTCGTTGTTACAGAATCCAGAGTTGGAGTCAGTTGAAAACTTTCATAACTCATACCAATTTTGGTTTCTCCCTCAGATTCATGTTTTTCAAATTCATTAACAGCAACGCTATTATTTTCCAAGCTCTCTTTCGCCTCGAGTATCATATTTCCAGTGTCTCCATCACCTGATTCTCTCCTTCCTAATCCAAAAGACCTCTCACCTGGAGTCACCGATTCATCTGCGTCACAAGAACTACCACAGTTGATTCTGTTATCATTCTCCTCGCTGATACATCCTTGACCTAGCCCTTGTTCGACAAGCTGGCTGACACTTTCATCTAATCCTCTATCCGCATCAACAGCCTCTCCTTCACTTTCCACCAGATACTCGTTGTTATCTCCCGGCGCAACACCTAAACTATTTCCTTCAATCGTCTCGAAGGATACCAACCCGTCGTTCAATTGCATATCTTCCTCTATGGAACCAAGTTCACCTGTAACAGAACCCGAGCACTCTGGTTTATCAGTCGTTCCCATTTCACCTACTTCAACTGCACTATCTTCTACTCCTTCAACATTACCTAGCCTCATCAATGCATCAACTTCAGAAATGCTGCCACCATCATCATCCTTGATGATATTCCTTTGAACAACCTCTTTCTCGATTAGTTGCTTGAAACCCCCACCTAATCCCTTACTCGACTCAATAAATTTCCCTTCATTTTCCACCATACAATCATAAGAACCTCCTGGTAGAACACCAAGCCTCAAATCTTCAATATTCCCAGAGGAAACAAAACCATCTTCTACTTTATCTGACCAGTTCATTCTCACCGCTTCTTCCTCTGTGGAAACGAATTCACCTACAACAGAACCTGAGCACTCTGGTTCCTCAACCATTCCCTTATCTCCAAACTTCAACCCCCTATCTTCGACTTCGCTTTCTTCGTCACCTGGAGCCTTAATCGCACGCACCAACGTAGCCTCTTCATCATCACTACCCAAAATTTCATCAAATTCATCATCATCCAAAGACAAAACGGCCCGAGGAATAATGACTTTTGCTTTCATG